AAATTTAAATTTAATAAGAAAAAAATTAAAAACAACAAAATATTATAAAATGAAATGAAAACAGTTGTAGCGCATTTCTTCCCCTGAAACGTCTTCCTCATCTTTAAACAAATATGAAAAATAAAAAAATATATATGCAAATATATTATGGCAAGGTAGAAAATATACTATTAAAAATTTAGGAGCTGTAAAAATTAAATTATTTAAAAATTAGTGAATTTGTGCAGCATTTAGGTGTAAGTTGTACTAATATTTGTAAAATAGAACTTGTTATGCACCAAGAAATGAAAATTTAGTAATATTTCGTTAAAAAAAAATCAACAAAAATATGTATATAAAGATTTAGTAATATTTCGTTAAAACATAAACGAAAAAAATATATGTAAACTGCAATAGTAACAAAAATATTCTATAAGAAAATTCATGTAAAAATCATAGAAATGTTACACACAACACTCTACTGTTAAACAACAAAGATTTTAATAAACACAGATTTTCAACAAATGACAATCCGATCACACTGTTTTTTATTTTTGTTGTTATTATTTTGTGGTTTGTTGAAGCGAGATATTATTTTTTTCAACACACGTTTTTGTCAAACATGCATTTTTTAAATTACATAAAATTTTATTTCAAATATTTTAAAATGAAACTAATAGACTTCTATTGTGATTTTTGCAATTCAAATATTATCGTCAGACACAGCACTCAAATGATCTACATAGTAATGTTTTAATTTAATGTTCACAGCAACAACAACAAAAAGTTGAATTTATGATGCAAATGTGATCCCAAGTAAACCAAGAAGGAAATATGTTTGTAATTCAACTTCAAATCTATAAGTTCGAACTCTTGAATTCAATCAGTACCATCACACATATCTTAACAATGCTCGTTTAAAACGAAAGAATTTGTGCAAAATCGTATAAAAGAACGTTCGCAAGTGCCCATAAATTGGAAAATATAATTTCAAATTTTGTTTTAAGCATTAAATGTTTTACACCTAATACAAGGTGAATACGCTGAAAGCTGAAAAAGGATGTAAACTATCCACAGATTTATGCAAAAGAATAGATAAGTCTGTCAAGGATCATATTCCATTTTTTATTAATTAAGTTAGACAACTTACCGTTCATGTTGATATCCGCTAACCGCAGGCGATGCGTGTTTTCCATTACACAACATTTATTTTATGTTCATTTATTAATATAGTCTCTAGTTCTGTTTTTAAATTTTTACGTTTTTTTATTGACACACAAACACATTTTTGATATTTTTTTTACATAACACACTTGGGAAAATTGAATTTTTCCTCTTTTCTTATTTGCACACAACCACTTATTTTATTTTTATTTTTTCAAAACGCCACTTTACTTTAGGGCTTATTTTTTTATTTTTCAGTTATTTACACACACATTTATTTTACTTTTTTTACAACTCACTCATCTACTTTATTAACTTTTTATTTTTATTTTTTTTTTTCTTATTTTATATTTTTTTATTTCATTTTTTATATTTTTCTTAATACACCTTTCACTTTTTACCATTATTTACACACACATCTACATTTTACTTTTTTAACTTATTTCTTCTTTTTTATTTTTCAAAGGCTAACTTGGGAAATTTTATCTTTCCTCTTTTTGCTATTTTTTAGACACATTTTACTTTTTTCTTCTCTTTTTCACTTTTTTTCATTTTTCATAACACACGAATAATGGAAAACTTAAATTTTCACCATTTTTGCACTGATTTACATATTTCCATTTACATCTACTTTATTTTTGACCTATTTTTAATTTTTTTTTTTTTACTACTACTACTTTT